TAGCATACTATTACCTCATGTTTTGAGCCACTTTGTCTTAGAAGTTCGGTTGTTTCCGCTTCATAGTTCAAAAAAGGGAACTGGTTTTGGAAATTCAAAATTTTAAATTTTTGACCTTGACCTTTGTAGGATCAAACGTCATTGGCATTGGCTATCTATTTATACTTTTATATTTGCTGTCCTATGTCCACTTCCGGTTTTATAGCCGTGTGCAATTTGAAACTTTGATGACTTATATCTCTTGATCTTGAACTTTATAGACCTTCTCCTTTACGAGATCAAAGGTCATTGACCTTGGCTATCTGCTGATACTTTCATTTGTGAGGTCTGACATCTACTTCCGGTATTAGAATCTTCTAAAAAATTAAAATTTCTCAACTTTAGACTTGTTCTTGCACTTGACCTAATTATCGTCGATGGTTGATTTTTTCAGGGTCTTCAGCAAATTGCTACATTTGCAAAATCCCACTCTGTGCCATGTGTGGCTCTAGTTGTTATTGTTTTCTTAGCAATTATATTCTATGAAATATCAATATATCCTGGTATAGGATAACGACCGAGTTTTTTCAGTGCTGCACATGCTATTTATACCACCAAGTTATATAGTCATCATATTAAACAATATTTTTTCTTTAAGCTGCCCCAAAAGACCAAAACCCCAAAAAGTAAAAGAGACCTGCATCTAGTTAAAAAGTTTACTGAATTTTAATTCCCACCAAGCGAAATAAGAAATTTGCCGCAGTAGGTTAAAACTATTAGGTTTATAAATAGGGTTAATGGTAAAGAATATCATGGCCAGAGCAAACTGTTACTAAACAGAATTAAATGACCAGCAAACTGTTACTAAACAGAGTTAAATGACCAGCAAATTGTTACTAAACAGAGTTAAATGACAGGCAAACTGTTATTAAACAGTTACATGACAGGAAAACTAAGAAGTTCAAGTAAAATTTCTGTGTAAATTTGCCTCACCCTGTTTATTGAACAGGAAATAACTATGGTGGTAGACATTTAAATAATCGGGTACTTTTACAAAAAGAAATGAATAAAGACCAGACAATGCTGGTCGAAACATCGCTTAAATAAAGTTAGTAATTGTAATCCATAAGAATTGTTTTTTTATATCCAACATTTACCAAATGCCATTTAAAGATTAGAAAAACTGTTAATGAGAAACAATATTGTATAATCTTTAAGTGACATTTACAAGCAGATAGAACATAAGATAAGTAAGAACACTACTATGGACTTACTACTTCTTTCTTACATTACAGACAATTTTTAGCTCCTTTTAGCACTTAGTATATTTGAAACAAGGTAAAAACCCTAAAACACACCATTTGATGTTTCACTATGTCGGTAAACAAATTTAATTAGGAGTGACTTTAATAAAAATTCTATTAGAGACAATTTTAGCTCCTTTTAGCACTTGATATATTTAAAGAAGAAATTAGGTCAATACCCTAAAACAAACTATTTGTTGGCTGATGCTTGGAAATATAACTTTTTCTATTATCCCACTTTCAGTGATTTTTTATCTCTTATCCTTTTTTTCTTCTGAATCGTAGAACTGAATCATATGACACCGAAACTTTTTTGTGAAGTTAAGGAACAGTGTCCGGTGTTGGTTCATCGATACAAAATGGTAAAAGAGAATCATGCCATCACTGTGTTTTGACAGGGACAGCAATGGGCAAACGATTCGCCCCTTCGTACGCAAACCTTTTCATGGCAGAGTGGGAACGTGAGGTGTTGCCCCTCTGTCCATTTGACCCACTTTTTTACGGACGCTTTTTGGATGACATTTTTATGGTTTGGACTTATTCTATCGAACAGTGTTGGGAATTCTTTGAAATTCTCAACAACCACCATCCTTCTATCAAACTAACCGCAAACGTGAGTGACAAAAGCATAGACTTTCTCGATACCACAGTCTTTAAGGGAGATTCCATAGCAGAAACAAATAAACTGGATATTAAAGTGTATTTCAAAGAAACTGATACTCATCAACTTTTGCACAAGAGCTCCTTTCACCCAAAACATACCTTTTCTGGTATAATTAAGTCACAAGTTTTACGATTTCATCGAATTTGTACAAGATTTTCTGATTTCAACCACGCCTGTACGATTGTTTTCTCAAAACTGAAAGAGCGTGGGTACTCTAAACGATTTTTACGAAACATAAAAAATTCCACCTTAGCACAGATAGCAGCTAAAAACAGACTTTATGCCGAAGTACCTCCAAGTTTAAGAAGTGCTCCATGTTTGTCCAGTAGATGCAAAACATGTCCCTTTATATCAGAAACTCATTATTTTGTAAGCAACTCTACGAATAAAAGGTACCCGATCCAGGAACATCTAACATGTGAACATTCGAATGTAATATATTTAATTTCATGCAAGAAATGCCCCAAACAATATGTAGGAGAAACTAAGAATAATTTACGAACTCGCTTTAATGCTCATAGGTCAGACATCAAATTAAAGAAAGACAAGCCTGTTTCTAATCATTTCAACCTCGACGACCATTCAATAGACGATCTCGCCCTAATCCCAATTGAGGTTATAGAAATTGACTTGCCCGAAGATGAAACTACCAAATTCCGTCAATCTAGGGAAGCCCATTGGATTGAGACATTGAATACAGCAAGACCTATAGGACTAAATATTCATCATAATGTAGGCATAGCACCCTTTGTTGTCCTGTTTAATACAACCAGCAATCGAGCAAGCAAGATAGTTCATGCCCACTATAAGAGCCTTCAAGAGAAATTCCCCCATGTCTATAAGCAGGAAATGATAGTTGCATATTCAAAAAATAAGAACTTAAATGATAATATTGTTCATAGTAAACTAAAAACAATCAGCACATAACAGATACTATACTTCTCGCCCATCGGGCGAGTTATTGTGGGATTCAGCAAAGTCCCAGTTTGTTATCGAAATGTCCATTCTTTTTTTTTTTTTTTTTTTTTTTTTCGAAATTTACACACCTTCCTGAGCCTAGACTGCAGTAGTTGCAGCAACCATTCAACTTCTCTAGACCTTCTGTAGTGGCAACGTGTTCCTTAAATATATATTGGAACATTTTTGCAAAACCGGAAGTGCCACAGTTCAACATGTGCAAAAAGTCGAAAATCGGCTCTAGAAGGCGTATTTTTGCATCGATTTTCTTCGGGTTTTAATTTTTACAATTTACCTGTAATTTCTGACTTGATAGCACTTGAAAAATTACGAAATTGGAAAATTCGTCGCTCACTTTTTTCGATCAAATTTTTCAATTTTTTTGCAACTTTTTTGCTTTTGCATCTATTGATCTGAAATTTAATATGCAAAGGGACATCACTAAAGCAAATAATATGTAGTTGTCAAATATTTAACTTTACTTCCGGTTTTAAACGGGGAATCAAATGAAAGTGCAATCCACTTCCGGTCAAATAACTTCCGGTGTAATTGAAATAGGTCAACTAATACAAATGCTAATACAAAAAAACAAAGAAAATAAAATCCAGACCGGAAGTGATACTTTGGCCCCCATATTGAAAAAACACACTTTTGTAAAACTCAAAATGGGGCCTCAGGGTAAATGTTGATATGCTCAAATTTGATGTGAATGTATTCCGCAATCGATTGCGCAAAAAACATTGGGAGCCGAATTTTGAATTTCGCTTTTGCTTTTTTGCAACTTCCGGTTGAAATTTGTTCATGCTTTAAACGATCACACCATGTGACCTTGACCTTTGATGACCTTGACCTTCATAGGGTCAAAGGTCATTGACCTTGGCTATCATTTGATACTTTGACCTTTGACCTCCGACCTTACTTCCGGTTTTATAGCTATCTGTAAAAAGCCAAATTCGCAACTTGTTTACATTTTGGGGCTGGGGCATAACTCGCATAGGATACGTTTGTTAAAAAAGGGCCTTTGCACACAATTACCTCATCCTTTTGGCCAGTTTGTGTTAACAGCTCAGTTGTTTCAGCTTTATAGTTCCAAAAAAGGAACGGGTTTTAACATTTGGATATTTTCATTTTTCGATTTTGACCTTTGTTGACCTATATCTTTTGACCTGAATAATGTAGAAGCTTGAAATTTAAAACACAACATAACATTTGGAATATCAATTACCCCATGCAAAAATAATTAAGGTGGGCGTGGCACATTTGGGTTATATCATTCATTATTGATATTTTTGGCCAGGAGCATAACTCGCAAAGTATACGTTTGTTCGAAATGGAACTTTGCATACAATTACCTTATATTGTGAGCCACTTTGTCTTAGAATTTCGGTTGTTTCCGCTTCTTAGTTCAAAAAAAGGAACAGGTTTTGGAAATTGAAAATTTTCAATTTTTGACCTTGACCTTTGTTGACCTTGACCTTTGTAGGATCAAACGTCATTGGCATTGGCTATCTATTTGTACTTTCATATTTGCTGTCCTATGTCAACTTCCGGTTTTAAAGTCGTGTGCAATTAGGAATTTTGATGACGTATATCTCTTGATCTTGACCTTTTTATACTTTCTCTTTTACAAGATCAATGGTCATTGACCTTGGCTATCTGCTGATACTTTCATTTGTGAGGTCTGACGTCTACTTCCGGTATTAGAATCTTCTAAAAAATGAAAATTTCTCAACTTTAGACTGTTTTTGCGCTTGATCTAATTATCGTGGAAGGATGATGTTTTCGGGGTCTTTTGCAATTTGCTACATTTGCAAAGTCCCACTCTGTGCCACAAGTGGCTCTAGTTTTTTCTAATTTCAGATCAGAATAAGAACAGAAGAAAACCCAATATCAAGACCCTTAATCCTAATTTCTAAATAAAGTGTCTGCTCCACCCTAGGCCTGTACATTTGGGAGAATCAAACCCTCTCTTCCCCGAAATCTAGTCAGAGCACTACAAAATTTACCTAGAACAATGTTGAGCATTATAATTGTTAGAATTATCGCTAAAAATAGTCATTTCTAATCATATTAGAGTTATGTTATTTTTGTTTCAGACAAAAGACAATTCTGCCACAGCAGACTTTGTATCTCAAGCTGCGACCTTGAAAGGTCAAGATGGCTACAGTAAAATTTTATTTTCATCTTTCGTGAAAAAGGTACTATTTATTATTTTGCAAGTCAATAGGATTCTATTATTCAGGTATTGGTTGTATTTAATTGTGTTTTAGTTGCCAATATCTGTGACTGCAGAAGGTCTGGAATTTATGTTGGATAATTTGTAGTAAAACACATTGCTGACTTGATCTGGTTTTACATTCATATTGTCTGATAAGAGCCCAGCACAATCCCTTCTCCAAGTGAACATAAATTTCAAAGTTTTTGTTTACTCTGTGATTGTCAGAATGTTTATATAAAGTCTCCTATTTTACGCCTTTACAGATTAAAGTCACAATACCGGTATATCAATATATATGAAACAATGACTATAGAAAGATTCTTTAAGAATACATATAAAATAATCATTTTTTTAATCTATAAGAGTGCTTTAAAACTGACATTGAGGGATGAGTCTGCACTGCCATTTTACGCAAACCAAACAGTAATCATTTTATATCCTTCAAACTTGAATTGTCAACAGAAAGTTCTTAGCAAACTGTGAATTGTACAGTATCTTATTTTTAATTATCAACCGAACTTTATAATTATTCTGTTTACATCTTGAACTTGTTTGTTAGTTAATCTACGATCTAATCATTTTGTTTATGTCGTAAATTTCATTAGTGTTTTCCATTTTATTTATAATTTACATTATTTAATGTTAATCCACTTATATTTAATTATGGAATGCTCATTTTTAGGGCTTGTTTATGCTTATCAACAGTCTATTGATTCAGCAGGTGTTCACTGTGGTTATTATTGAAAATAAATTCTTGAGAATGGTGTTTCAGAATATTTTGAGATATTGGCAGCATGGATGGAAATATTGTATAATATTAGTTTACTGAATTACTTATTACCATATGCCACATCTATCTTTTGTAAAGTGTTCATGAACTACTATAAATGGAGACAAGTAGGACTTAAAACTCCATTCATTTCATTTCATTTATAATTGGAGACAGAATTCCCTAATTGGCACACATGTGGTTTCTCAAACATGTAATCTCTAATAGTAAGATACTTTGATTCAGCATTCTCAATGAAGGCCTTTAAGGCATCAAACCCCTTTTTGAATTATAAATGAATAATAATATTTTATGATTATTTATTTCTTGACAATTTATTTATATGTTGTTTAGGTCAACAAACACAACAAGATGGCTGATCGTGGTATTATAATCACCAATAAATCTATTTATAAACTGGACAGTAAGAAACGATTTAAACCAATGACCAAAGGTACACCCATATCAGAGGTAAGGTCAAGATAAATTCATTCTTATCCAAGTCTGTTACAGTCTATTTTGATTTGAAGTAGAATAAGTAATCGCTATATAAACCAGACTTATATTGTGTTCATAACTATCGGTATCTATCATACCTCAAAGTGGATTGTTTGTGTTATGAATTGTACACTGAATATTATATAGTACAAAAACTATTTGTACGCGTATTTTGTTCAAATCTTTTTAATTAATTTTTTACCGCTATACATGGTTTTTATTCTTTGAAAATTTAAACCTTCTATAACAATTTGAGTACTCCGACCTATTCAACCAAAAACTCGTATAAAAGTGCGGTATAGGAGGTTTTTTGTTTTCATCAAAACAGGAAAAGGAACATTGAACCTTGTATAATATAATATTTAACGAGGTTTTAAATCTAATGGTTTATATACGTGTTATTTAATTAGTGGGTTTTGGGTTATTTACAATCAATCCAAGAATACGAGGTTTTGATCACAAGATCTGCGTTTTTACAAACTTCGGACAGTACCAAAAAGTCAAAATGACCAAATATGGCATATAGGAGGTTTCAGGCGGTCATCCATGATATACTTTGATATAAAATACTTATCTTAATCTAAGTTTATGGTTTATATTTATATGAATTGGAATATCAGCATTGATCAAATATAAAAGTGGGCATAAATTTTTATTTTAGAAATTAGCTTGAATTTGGCCTATAATTGACAGAGAATTAAAATGTGTTTTTATTAAAAAAGACGACAAAAGTGTAAAAAGATTTTATGTTGAGTAGTGTACCATAAGATTATATTCCGTTATGAAGTGTCACTTGGAAATTATAAAAAATTTATAAAATATCTCATAAGAATTAGTTTAAGTTTTATATTTCATGTGATAAAGATCATGTATAAAAAATATTTTTAGAAACAAATACATGACTTCAGTAAAATTGAATAAGTTCATGACATTTGAAGTGATGGAAGTTAAATTGATCTCAATCTCCGCACACAATAAATAAACATGCAGCCCACATGGCTTTTGGTTTTTGACCTAAGTTTAATATATAACCTGGAATTAAACTGATTCATTTTACCTCCCAGATGTGCAAAGAATAAAATTCCCACTTGCATAACTGCAGATTTTTATTGATATTAATTTGAAAGGTGTTGAATTGGATCACTTTATTCAGGAATGCTATTGTTATAAATATAAAAAATCCTGATGTATGACTTTAACTATATGAATTAAAAATCATCAAATCACACAACTCCTTTTTACAAGTCTGTTTGCTTATCTTAATTAATGTGTATGATTGTAAGGAGAAAAATCATGACAAACAGATTATTATCATTATTAATGTTAGTTCTTAGCTTTCTGTTGTTAGACTAGGCCAATGCTTTTGTATCATAAATTTTCATTGATAAACTACCTGACCCATGTTTTTTAAGAATTCTTAATTGAAGTGGTGTTTTACAGATTTAATTCCATACTTATACAACAAATTTGGTAAAAACTATTTAGAGAAATGGGGGACTTCACAAATTTAATATCAGTATATGTCCCATATTTAGTTTACTTTAGTTGAAAATTGAGTCATATAGCCCCTGATATCCAAAAGGCATTAGAATTTAATTATGATAAATATTGCAGAATGATACAGATAAAATTGAGTTTTAAAAGCTAGTAAAGCAAATATTTAGAAAGCAATTATGCCTTAAAGAAATGAAGAATAATAATTAATGATAATTAGTTTCTTATAATAATTGTCACAAACAACCGACATTATAATACACAGAAATATTACTATTTGTTTCCAGCCAAAAGACACTTGGAAAAATATCTAAGTATATAAAAATATAATTATTTTCAGCTAAAACAAATTTCGATTGAAAATTGTTGTTTAATATTTGTTGTGGTTATATATTTTAGATAACTGGATTAAGTATAACCCCTGAGTCTGACCAGTTGGTAGTAATACACCTGTCTGGAGGTAACGATTTAGTTATATGTTTAATCAGCCAGTCTGGAGAGGAACGTGTTGGAGAACTAGTTGGTATACTCTGTTCTCATTGGCATAAGTAAGTTCTTGCATAACTATTTAATGGAGAATTATGATAACTTCTGTGAGTTCTATTATTTATATTAATTTCATTCCCATCTTTAACTGAGTTGAATTGTCACTAGATGACTTTAGGGCTCAGTGTTTTGTTCATACATTCAACATCTGTCAATACTGTGCACCAAAATGCTGGGGAATAATGCTCTTTGCAACTCTGTCAAATAAAGTTTAAATTAACAATACTTGACTTGTGACTTCTTTCCAAAATTCATTATAAATTGTTGGGTTTTTTTTGGTTTCAGAACAATGAAGAAAGATTTAAAGGTCAATATAAGTAAACAGTTTAATGTTATGTTAGGTGGAAAATCGAGGACAGTTACTGTCAAAACTACTGTAGCCAATGGTGGGCCTAGTTTTAAAAAGGATGGACAGGGGTTGGCTCTCTTCTGGCCAGTGCAATAACCAAATATACACACATAGATTGGTGGAGTAAATATGAAAATTTATGGGAAAGAATAGATTTAGATGCTTGGAAGTAGAAGAGCAATTGCTGTATATTATTCTGTGATTATCAGACATATCTAATTGGAGCTCACACATTTGGCTTCTTTTTTGAGATCTGCTTAAAATTGATACATATTTCAAATGATTTATATTTGCACATTATGCTGCTTGTTAGAAAATTTGGGATTAAATTTCTATTAAGTTCATTTATCTTATAAACAGAAGGTTTGAAAGGTAACATTTGATTTGGTGAACATAACAAAACTACATAGAAAAGATGATATCATGTGTAATCTTATATGCTGAAATAACTTATTTTTACTCTGGACATTGACATACTAAAATTTTCATTCTTTAAAGAAGCTGAGCATTAGTCAAATTTTTGGGATCTGTTGTCAACAAAAAATTCGGTGGTTTAATCCAAAAAAATTTATCTTTCAATAAATGTTATGCAATGATTGAGACATGTTTTCAAGAGTGTTTACCTAGCTCTATAAATCATTTATAACTAATGAGCGTCTATCTAATTAACTTAGAAATCTCATTGATCTATACTATCATAACAGCAGCATAATCTATCACAACACTTAGTTATGTATATTCAAAATCATCTTCACAATGTCAAACTATTACAAACTGTGTAATACCTTTACTGTAATAGGCCCTTTTGCAGAATCCTCTGCTGCATACCCTGATACAAAAATAGCGCCTAATGAAGTCAAGGTCAAGACACAGTTTGTAATAGTTTGACATTGTGAAGATGGTTAAAAAATTATCTTAAAGTGATACTACGTCTTAGAATTAACATAAAATTTAAGAATTTTAAACTTGGCGAATAAAAGCCAGTAGATATACCTGGTGTCATAGATAACATAACAGGATCCTTATATAATCCAATAAATCCAAAAAAATTAGTAATTATCCATAAATATGCAATTAACTATTGAAAAACGTTCAATATCAAGATTAAGCATTTTTCAATAATTACTTAGTTTGATGAATTTTTCAATTTTCCAGATTTTACAGGGATTCTGTTGTAACTTTATGACACCAGGTAAGTTCACTGATGAATATATATCATTTTGACCATTTCGAGAACTTAAATTTTATGTTCATTCCAAGACGTAGTATCACTTTGAAGTTATGACACCATGCCTCTGGATAGTCGCAATATTTTTAAGTTGTATAATGTAGGTATTGAAAACAATATTCTGGCATGCCATTTTTCAAAATTTGGAAATATTTCTTTAAATAACTATATATATAAACATTATTCTTGACAATATGGTATATTTATGATTCTGGTGTTTATTTTGATCAGCATTTTGACTGTTTTATTTATAAAGTTGTTTATTTCTATAAAGTTATTTTGATTAGAGGTAAAGATTGATATTTGATATATAGGTCTGGTTCTATTTTGATGTTAGTAAACATGAACTGTTTATAACTGTAGACAATTTCTTAGTCTGTAAATGATATTTAAGCACACAATCAGATTTTATTTTATTTTTGTTATTTTGGAATATTTTGACTAAAGTAGAAAATAAGGCACCTAATATAGAAAATTATTTATGTAAACTATTTGAAAGAGATATTTACAAAATTCTTAGCCAAAAAGTGCTAGAATTGGCATTGATTTTTATAGTGATACTAGTGGGCACTGTAATTGCTAAATCCATTCTTATAATGAGATGATATGTTCAAAGGTATTAGTATGCCAAGTTTTGTTAAGAGACTTTGATAAAAAAAATTATGTAGGCCTACTGTTTGAAAATGTATGAGAAGTTATTGCAGTGATTCTCAAATGTGGATAAGTATTGTTTGTCGTAGAATATACCTTCAAAATACAATACAAATAAGAATTTTTTTTATATTTTCAACTACATCAGCCAAAAGACATCAGTTGACAGACTGTTTATTGATGATAAGTAGTTTTTTTTTGCTTAATTAGTTGTTAATTATCAGCGATATTATTAAGTGCTGTGTTCAATGTGTTTGTATTTGTATATATAGATGTAAATATTATGTTTAATAGTAATTTACAATTATACCTAGCCAAATTCTATATTTTATAGTGCTTGTAGGCTGGTTTTCAATTTCCAAAGTATGAAAACGTATATTATTCTAAGAACCATTGAATTTACATACATGGAAAGTGTCTGTCTCAAACTATCTATGAAGTTTGCAATTCAATCTTGACTAAATTGTGATCTACATGCTACTACAAACAGAACTTGTGATCACTCTGACAGGCGTTTCCAAATTTTGCTCTAGTAGCAACACAAACATTGGACTTTTTACTATGTAGCAGTAGAAACCAGTCAAAGCAACTATGAAAAATATGGAATTGGGCTGGAAATTTCATTAACTCAAGATATATATTATTATATTGAAATGAAATGATGTTTCAGACATTTGGTTAGAAATATTCTATTGAATATGTAACATTTTTCATTGTAGATTAACTGACATATTGATTGCATTGCAAGAGATCTCAATATTACTCAAAATCTTTGTGAAACCAAATCTGGATCTGATCTGCATAATATGATCCATTTAATTTATTTCATTTCCATCATGTTATCACCAATTTGAAATTATTTGTCTAATTTACAACATGTTTATAGTCTATAGATCCAGTCAAGACATCATTTCATAGATCTGTAAAATAATTTAAACCTGACTTAAGGGTAATGCTAGGAACTTTCTGTTGAATCTCTAAAACAATCTCTAATATTTAATGTTGTGTTATTATAAAAGTACGAGTTTAATTGTTTGTTGGCCTTTCAATCACAAGATCCGTCAAATTCTTTATATATACCCGACCCAATTTTATAATCCTATTTCATTGTTTACACACTTTCCAATTTAAACTAAGTGTTTTAAGACAGTTCTCTCTTTGTAGGTGAACAATCCAATGGTTGGCCAATTCTACTTGGCAATTATAGGAAAAGCTAAGATTATATGGTAAAAATTGTCAAAATCTTCATATTCAGTCTAATATATATTTTGCCTTTCTTCTTTACATTGAACATCAAGATGATGTGGTCCTTAGTAAACATACAGCCTTCATTTGAAAACCTTATACCTGCCTTACTATATCAATTTAAAATATGTTATGGACTTTTGATATTTGTATATTGTTTATGATATATAACTTTTAATATTGATCCTGGTTGAGAAAGTGCATTATGATTTGTCTAATTAGTGCAGTAAGTCTGCATAATTTCTTCATTGAGAAGCTGACATCAGAACTTGGTGCATTTTTTTTAATAAGCTTCAAATTTATTGAATATTGTTGAGATGGGTTATATATTGGTAATTTTATGTGTCATTTGCATGACTAGTGGATTATCTATGTAGAAATTGAAAGAAAAGTAATTCCACGTAATTAGACACGCTTTTTAAGACTTCATAATTATTCGTAGCTTTGAATTGTTTGATCTTGTTAATTGAAAACATAACCATATAATTTAAATATGTATTATATACTAAATAAGTTGTTCATATTTTGAAAATTGATGTCCATAGAAAGTTTTATATTTCATAGACTAGCAATGAATCCTATTAACTATAGCAATATGTAATCCCTCCATCATATGATGCCTTTTTTGTCCCAATTAATGTTCTCTCTTAAATCTGTCCCTTTTCTTAATCAGGACTATTTTTCATCTTTGTTATTTTTGAATAGATTAATCTATATTTTTTGCCATGCTTTGTATGCTTTTAAAGGCCCGGTTGATATTTCTACATATGTTGTTGATAAATCTACATGTTTTGTTCATATTTCAACCGGCTTTGCTGATATTTCTGCATGTTTTGTTGGTATTCCAACTGGCATTATTGATATTTCAACTGACTTTGTTGATATTTCTACATGCTTTGCTGATGTTTCACTTGGCTTTGTTAATATATCTACATGCATTGATGATGTTCAACTTTCTTTGTTTATTATTAAGATATTTCAACTGGCTTTGTTGAAATTTCTACATGTTTTGTTGATATTTTAACTGGCTTTGTTGATATTTCTACTTGCTTTGTTAATATTTTGAGATCTTGATTTGTTATTAAATTCTATCAATATTATAAATTATTTATTAATCTTTGACAATGTCATTGTTGGGTAGGAAATAAGTTCTTACGAGCAAAACAATTCCGTTAAACAAAATTCTCGTCCAGAGCAACACAAAGCGGATGAAATAATCAATTTCCCGTGACTAATTTACCTACAATATATTGCGCCAAGTGTCCTAGCTGAACATCCGAATTAAAATGATTAAATTGAATATAAATTTACAAATCTAATCCCCGTTTTTCAGTTGTTCTTTCTTTCTCTTACTAGCTCTCATTTAAGCTGTTTATAGACTAGGTACCTTTACCGCTTTCTGGACTCAATAAGGACACAACATTGATTATTAGATTAATCCTTTCGAAGAAAGACCAGATAAGGACATTTCAGAATTTCTAGAAATATGTTTAATGCGTAATGACTTTACTTTCAATGGAAAAACATGCCTTCAAATTTCTGAAACAACTATGAGAAAAGGATTTGTCCCAAGGTATGCATTATGCAAATATCTTCATGGTCGAATGGGAAAGCGAAATTGCCCCTTTTTGACGGTAGATTTCTTGACATTTTTATCATTTGGACCGAATCACTAGAAAACTTTTGTGGTAATATTTTTAGATACTAAACAATCACCATCCTTCAGTTAAATTAACGGCAAACATTAGCGACAATAATATGGATACCTCTGATACTACGGTGTTCAAGGGAGACGATTTGGACTTATACGCACCAATTTTCATCCGAAGCATATATACTCTGCAATTTTCAAATCACAAATCCTACGGTTCAGAGGGAATGTACTCAACAGATCGATGTTGATTCTGCTCGCAACCTGGTTTTCCATAACTGACCAACTTTCATGCGGTGATCAGGATCTCATTTACCTTATTTACTCCTTTTAACGGCAGTACATGGCAAATATATACCAATTTCCAATCACTTTAACCAACCCGACTATTCCATTGAAGACTTGTTGATTATAACATTTGAAAAGATAAAAACTATGCCCAATAGTTATTGGATGGACCAATTTCAAACTGTATACCCCAATGACCTAAATATTCAACACGACAACCAGATGATACCCTTCGTTTAAAAATCTCAGTAATATCCTGGTCCATGGTAGACTTAACCCTCAATAGTCTTAAAATATCTGACTTCTCTGATTTTGAATTTCCTACAGAGACTATTCATATTAATGCTTATTATTTTATTATAGGTACATGAAAATTTGTTTCACACAACAGGATTAATCTTTAGATGATTATTGATATATCAGAAGAATGTTGATTCTTCTATTTTCAGCTATTTCAGTTAAAGAAATGATACCACCACAGATAGTATTACAGAGACATCCATATAACGTATCTAATTATCTTAACCTTTAATTTGCACCTTGTTTTATAAATCTTTACTTTACTTTACTTGAGACTATGTTCTCATCACCATCTGACACAAATATATTTAGCCTTTATATTTTTCACTGGCTGACAAACTTGGGTCCCTTGAATAAAAGCAAAGCCCAAAGAGCTAGCAGTGTTTATAATTCTTGTTTTTGAGATTTTAAAAACAAAATATGTTATTGTCTAAGTTTAAAATTAAAATATCACAGATGCAGTTATATAAGAAGGTTATTATTATATTTCTCGTTATAACCGGGCGTTAATTATGACGTCCTAATGCCATCATTCATATTTGTTAACAACATATGTGACTCCTCTAATGAAACATTAAGCTTAATTGCCGTTAAAGATGGTAACAACGCAATCTATGTAGGCAAGACTCTCTTGGATTTCAAGCTCAATTGCTGTGTGCTGGGACTTTCGAAAATAACCATCAAAGTTCAGACAATTTGGTTAACGAGCTTCTTGGGAACCACCTTTGACATGTCTCTCACGTCCGTCCAGAATCATTCCTGGTCACTTCATAAGGTACAGACGAATTTTCACGAAACTTGGAAATATATATTAATGAACAAACCTTATTGAAGAAATATCAAATCAAAGATCTTCTGAATCAACATAATGACCCCCCCCCCCCCCCCTTCCAACCATTGTCGCATCATTTTTGGTTACAAGATTCAAGGCAAGGAAAAACAAAAGTTCTTCCAAATAGAACGGTTTATTAAAAGTGAAAACATGACAAAGGCAAAGTAAGCATACAAAAGACCGATTGTTGTGTGGCAGTATAAAATCAAATAATAGTAATTAGAATGGATAGCTCGTAACATTGAGGTTACAGTAGGATATAAAGTAACATTGATAGTAAGAAAAGACAGGGCATGCTTGTAATGGCGCTGGAACCATCCTTGGCCTCATCACGATCGACTGCAAAATAAAAGTTCAAAGTAAAAATATGGATTAAAAAAAAAATTCAACATGGCTAGACCAAATGGACAGAAAAAGCGACGATCGCAAGCAACATATCCACCTTTGGTACCATCTTAATTTATATTAATTCACAAAGAGAAAATAGACTGTTATGCAGATATAACATCCAAATCTGCTTCTTACTAGGCTAATATAGATCAGAGACACCATGCAATGAGTAATGAATAAAATGACAAACCATGTTTCCAACTATTAAGGCAACTATAAATGTAGGCTAGTAATGTAAGAGTCTCGATTATCCGCATATTTGTATACGGAATGCCTCAAGACACCACGTGGTCCATTCTTTTAGCATTTGGACTTATAGTTTCGAGAATAAGCTACTGATTAAGTGGATGTTTTAGCCTTGCAGATGATTTGTGAACCACATGTGTTGAAAATGAGGAATATTTAATGTTTTGCTGACATTGCCAATTCTACAGTGAGAGAGTTGCAGTTAGGTTCTTGTATCACCTTCTCGTAGTTTCACTGATCACATAATTGGTTATCATGTAAATTATTTGTCACGTTACTTACCCACAGAACAATATTGTTTTCTTATCAGATCTGATCCTACACAATGGTGACACCAAAATAAATGTTCAGGATCCCATTTCTTTTTGATTTCTAACAAACGGGAATACTTCTCCATTCCCCAATATTCTTCCTTCCAATCTGGGATATCTTCAGTTGGTTCATTGAAGTACACACCATCACCAAACTTTTTTAGTTCATTTCCAAACTGTAGTCCATACTTTTCAGCCTCAGCGTCATCTTTTGCATTCCCATATGCTACATAACAGGACATGGAATGTGTGGCTGCCCTGAATCCCGGACCCACAGCCGTTTCACTGGACGGAATGTCGGTCATGGCACCTGTCAGTAAAATATTGTTCAATTATTGATAAAATTGTTACCAATTTGCATTTCAAATATAAGTGTGAGAATACGTGAATCTGGGGAACGCTAAAGGATTATTCCTTCCTAAGAAAGGGTTATTCACTCATCAGTCTCTCCCTCATACCCACACCCCTCATTTTAATTATCCACCTACCTCCAATAAGGACGTCTGTACATCCTTGAGTAATTTGCAGTGGTACCCTCTTGGCGTGATCAACCAATAAATCCACCACACCATCGAAATTAGAATCATTTTGCAGGAGTACATTATACATGTACAATCTATATCCACCCTTGTCAGGCGTAGTTTTACCCTCATAATCCCAGAAGCTGGTATAATTTTTGAAATCTTGGTGGATCGTTGTACCATTTAAGTGGTCAAGTAAATCTTCCATTTGGTTCTGCAGCTCTTGCGTCCATCCACCAAAGTGTAACAGTACACACGACAGAGTTCCGAAATATGTCATAGTGTCATCTAAAGGCACATTATTTAAGAGAATATATCCACCCCACTTGTTGTCTAATGTTTTAACATATTCAGTAAATTTCTTCATAATTGGCGCTCCAGGGCTGTGAAGTATTGGTTCTTCATAATAGTACATTGGGTAGGTGGCTGAAACTCTCACCATTCCATTATTTGGGGGAAGATGAAGTTTGAATGTGAAACTCAATACAACACCCCAAGTTCCTCCGCCGCCTCCTCGAAGTGCCCAGAATAAATCAGCGTCGTTACTGTTTATGACAGTTCCATTGGTATGTTTAATTGTGGTACCGGAAGTGGAAGTAGTGACTGTACTGCCATCAGCAGTAATCAATTTCACCTCTAACAGACTGTCTACAGCTAGTCCAAGACTTCGGCCTATTGGACTGTGACCACCGCCTTGTGTATAACCCCCCATACCCACACTTCCATCAGCCCCACCAACTACAACACGATCGTGTTTATCAACCTGAAACATACCCTACATGTACACACTTGGTAATTTTACAAAAAGGTAAATTTTCAGCTGGACATTCCTTTGTCACAGTTCATATGATTAATATCGTGTATTTGATGTATTCATTCAGTTACTTGATAAAGGGTTCATAGTGTATCAGCGATAGCCACCACTCATTCTCTATTTAGTATTTATTCCATATGATTATATAATATACCAGACTAATTAAAATTAGACCAAATTTTCGTTTTGTTTTTAGTATAGCAACTTCAGAGTAGGGTCTAATGACCGTCAAAAAAACCTTTTGACCTAATCTGATGATATCTACTTTAACCAATCAAATTCCTTCAATCTCTCACAAAACACCAACGCTGGAGATGGCTTAAATTTGATTGGTTAAAGCAGGTTAGGTTAGGTTATTTTGACGAATGTTAAAGAGTCAGGTCGTTAGACTATGTTCAAAATAAAGACTAATTAAATAACGAAACGAAAGTTGGGTCTAATTTTAATTAGAATGACAATATCTGTATATAATACAGGAAAATGCGTTAACGGTTCTGTTAAAATCACAGGGAATGCTATGATTTGTCACAAGGTAGTAAGAATCGAAAGAAATATAAAATGCCATTACCTCTTCATAAACGCGAGCCCACATATTGCCTGTTTCTACCGTAACCTCTCCGTGGATACTTCTAACTGAATTCAATTTCACGTCAATTCTATTCAATTCAGATAAATTCAGCAATATTCCTCCTTCTACGGTCGATCTACCAACATATGAATGTCCTGTAGATTGAATAGCCAGCTTCACATTGTGTTTACTTGCAAAGAGAACGGTTTTTTGGATATCACTTGCGTCTGATGCGTATACAATCAGTCCAGGGAGCTTAGTCACTCTTCTGTTCTGCATCAACGACGCATTTTTGTATGCAGTATCTTCAGGGTCTAGTGTTGATCCAGATAGAGAGTCTCTGAATTCTTTCAGGGCGGTTGGCGATACAATATCACAGTCAGGCGAACTCTGCGTACTGGAGAAAATAGCCACTAAAACCAATATCATCAAATTCAGAAGAACCTCGGACTTCATCCTGAAAATACAAATCATTTATCAGTGACGGAGCCAGGTTTACGTCCAAGGTTGCCCGAATTTCTAACCAAGTTATGATATTTTTGCCCGAAAAACACGCCTTTTGGGATGAAAGGGGGGGGGGGGACGCCTTTGCATGACATTATACGAAGACTGATGCAGAATAAGCATCGGTTCGCACCGACACCCGCATTTATCCTTTTATAACATCTTAAATTATCCAGGGCAGATAACATAAACACCGACTCGACAAATTTCACAATGTCAGGTCATGTGAAATTCCTCTTTTCGGTAAGATTTTTTTTCAATCAGCAATATTTAAATATTTTGAAATAAAATATTTCACTTAGATGTTATGTTAATAAAATGCTGGGAACAGAGAAAGCGTGGAAAATAGGAGATTAATCACAAATATATGGGAAATTGTTCAGAACTAATATCATGCTGTCGACATGCACGTCGGATATTTCACTATTAGGAATTACATTAGATATTATGATAGTAGAAAAGCATCTACTCATTCAAGTGTCACATCTGGTAATTCTCATTTCTCATCTCAGTTATTATTAAACAGTTTCAAGTTCTTTTCATAGTTTGAGTGTAATTCCTCACTACTACAATATCAGAACTAAATGTGCAATTAGGAGATTTAGTTAACAGTCTTTTATACCATTTCTCTTGTCATGATGCATTCAGAGCTTCGTCGTCACAATGTAACAAATTTATTTTTTTATGTTTTCGAGTCTTTAATCTACTTAAAAATTAAATAATGATTATAAAAGCGTTTATGTCGTTATTGAAATGTACTGGACATGTTTAATGTCAAATAAAATACTTTCCAACTAACTAGAAGCAAGTGGTACAGAATGTCAAATTTGTCTTTATTTGATTAGATCTAATTAAGTTGAATTTAATTCGTAATATCTGCACTGTTAAAAAGAATTCAGCTTCTGTTTTGATATTTCTAACCTTGTTAACATACAATACTGTATCGTCAGAAATAGATAAATTTGAATTTTCAAAATAATTCGAATCATTATTATTTGTCCCTTACCTGAGTTGAGTAGTTCGACGAGTTTTTGTACTTTCTGTGACGGTATAAAGTAGGTCGCCCGATATATATTAGGTACAGTCAAGTGGGTTAAAAATAGGCCTATATTGTCAATAGAGATGGGCATATTTGGTTTCGCAAGACCTAACAAAATTAGCGTGGGGAGTATTCAAGTGATATGTGGAGCAAAAGAGTCTGAAATCATAAAACTTAAGTATCAAATGGCTAGCATTTGTCACAGAACCCAGTAAGGGACTTAAAAAAACAGCCGAAATGGAAAATGTCAGCTAAGGAACAAAGGGGGCCACCGATTTTTTTCAAGATCAAAAGAGATCAGAATTGACGTTATACAACTGTATTGGCAAAAACACACACCGTTTTCTAGATGGACGCTACATAAAATAGACAATATATATGGCCAGTAGATCTAATTTAATTAATTGATTACCCAACTAAGCTCTTATCATCAAAAATACAAACAGGACAATATTGTTTTCTGGGCAGATCTGATCCTACACAATGGTGACACCAAAATAATTGTTCAGGATCCCATTTCTTTTTGATAGTCAATAAACGAGCGTAATTATCCTTTCCCCATGTTGCCTCCTTCCAATCTGATATATCTTCAGTCGGTTCATTAAAATACACCGCCTTTCCATATTTTTGCAATTCATCTCCGAAACGTAACCCGAATTTTTCACCATCGGCATCATATTTAGGATCGCCCCAGCCCAAAAAACAACTTAAACTATGAGTAGCTGTTCTGAATCCAACACTGATGGACGTTTCTTTCTCAGATCCTTGTCTCGTGGCTCCTGAAATAGAGGAATCCAACCTCAAACAAGTTTTAAGGATTCAAACAGAAAACAAAATGAAACAACATTAGCTCAGCATAGTTATGCCACATGGTTAAAATGGCGGTGATGAAAGAAAAAGGGTGAATGCAATAAGCAAAAAACAAGAATACAAATTGATAGGTAAATATTAATAAAGGCTTAATGAATAAGCTTCTTTCAACAATGTATAGAATTTTCATAAAAACGGCAAAATATACCTGCAAACTGCAGAATGGGCACAAGTTTTGTACACTAAAATTGTTTCAATTCGACTTACCACCGATGAATGTGTTAGTGCACCCCTGAAGCAGTGGATATGGTTTCGTTACTGCATGTTGAACTAATGTGTCCACCAAACTGTCGTAGTCAGTATCGTTTTGTAGCAGAGAATTATAAAGATATATTCTAGCTCCACCACGATCAGCTGGGACGTTTTTCTGATATTCCCAAAAACTGGTATATTTCTTCAGAGCAGTATATACTGGCTTAGTGGTAAGAGTAGCCATAAAGGCGTCCATTTTATTCTGGACAGCCTGTGTCCAACCACCGAAATAAACTAAATCTAAAGTCAGTGTACCAAAGTGTGTATTGTCTAACGGCATTGTGCTATACAAGGCATATCCTCCCCATTTTTCGTCCACTGTTTTCAAAAATTCGAAATATTTCTTTAAAACGGCGGCTCCTGGTGCAATGAAACCTGAGTTGAGTTCGTACATATTAAAGACAGATATTGCCGTCATCATTCCATTATTTGGGGGAAGATGAAGTTTGAATGTGAAACTCAAGACAACACCCCAAGTTCCTCCGCCGCCTCCTCGAAGTGCCCAGAATAAATCAGCGTCGTTACTATTTATGACAGTTCCATTGGTATGTTTAATTGTGGTACCGGAAGTGGAAGTAGTGACTGTACCACCATCAGCAATGATCAATTTCACCTCTAAGAGATTATCTACAGCCAGTCCAAGACTTCGGCAGATTGGACTATGGCCTCCTCCTTGTGTATAACCTCCCATACCCACACTCGGATCGGAACCTCCTACAACCACTCTTCCATACTTGTCCACCTATCAATGAAAGTATAATTTTAAAAATAATGCTAACTTCTACAAGATAAAAAAAATGCTAACTAATTACTTTAAAAATGAATTAACAAAAATCAATTAGTTATATCAATTAGTGAATATAAGTCATAGGGAAAGTGATTCTGCTATAGTTAATCTTATAGCGAATTGAATATGGTTTTATAATATTTGCTCGAAAAAGACTGAGATGAGAAGGAAGGGGTGTGAAGGAACACAATATGTATATTTTCGGGAAAGGGGTTTTCAACCTAGAGATTTTGGTAATGTGGCACTTTGTAGTCGAGCATGAAATTTTTTACAATTATGATTTACTTCTCACCGGCATGAAAAGATTTGTAAGAAAACCTAAAAGAAAATCACAAAATAGTAAGGATTTATAGTGGAATTTGATTATACCATCGATCAAGAATCCCGCAATGGGTAATAGAAAGAAAAAGGTTGAAAACCTCTGGGTTAGGCAATGGTTAGATTATCTTCTGTATCAATATGCTCACTGACTTTATATCTATACCTCTTCATAGACTCCGCCCCACATATTTCCAGTTTCCACCATAACCTCGCCATGAGGACTTCTCGTCGAATTCAACTCTACTTTGATTTGTTTCAATTTAGAGAGAATCAGCAATATTCCCCCTTCTACGGTTGATCTACCAACATATGAATGTCCTGTAGATTGAACTGCTAGCTTTAAACTGTGTTTTTTGGAAAAGACAACGGTCTTTTGAACATCACTTGCGTCTAATGCGTATACGATTAATCCAGGGTGTTCCGTCACTCGTCTATTCTGCATCAACGATGCATTCGCGTATCCAACATCGGCAGGACTAAGTGTGGGCCCGGTCAGAGACTTTTTGAAATCATTGAGTTGTGTTAGTGGTATTAATGGACACGGATGATGACAAATTATTGCGACACCACCATCAAGATACAGCAAGTGAAAAATGACTAGAATCACCACCACTTTCATTCTGAAACGAGACAAAAAAAAGGTAATTGTCATTACAATGATATTTTGTTAGTGTCTTGACAATTACTATTTACGAAATATTGACACATGAATTTAAAAATAGTTTTGAACAACTGCCTTCTCCTTTTAATACATGTCTAACTACGTAGATTGTTTTATATACTTTACAAATTACACAATATTAGAAGATAAAAAGTTCAAATCACTAAGTGACACAGATGACAATAATCCGTTCGTTCTTGATTCTTATCAGTCTTGAGACGAGTTTTTTCTTATCTTTTTTATTATTAATTACTTTCTGTTGCTAGAATTCTATATGATTGACTGTATTAAAATTGTTATTTTCGCCCGCCTGTAGTGTTCATTAGTATTTATATAAATGTTAATCATGGGTATTTATTTACTATAACGTAGCCTGGTTTCGTAATATTACTCAAGACTCCACGGCTATTTCAGCAACTGGTCAAATAAGATTCAATTTAATTTGTTCCCATTAATTCGTATACTAAGTGTTAGTACTTGTTCATAGAAAGATTTGTTTACCTTTGCCTCGCCTATTAAAGTACAATGTCCTATCGTCATTTATATAAATATAGGACATGAACAAAGTCACATGGTCTGTAACTTAAAATAGACAGCCCTTTGAACCTGAATTAAGGTAATCAGACCACAAATACATACATACACGTAGAATCTTAGATGACAATTTGTGGCGCCTCTTGTTATTCCTTTTCTTGTATTTCCACCTTGGTGAACCTTATATCATAATCTAAATACATAAAATCTTTCTAAATTAAACAGTTAAAGAAAATTACAAGCAATAGAAACTAACAAAACAAGAAAAACTCCTTCAAGATTCTACAACTGGCTTGTCAGAAATCACCCCTGCCCTAACCAAGAAAGATTTTAGAAAGTTGACAACAATTGATAAATCTTAACACTAAAGTAGATAATATATTCATATAGTTCTATTATTTTGAAATATGCCTGAAGTTGATTATTTTTAGTATAAGCATGTCATAAATGTGTTCCGGAATTGATACAGCTGTACAACCACGCCATAGCTTTATCTACATTCACGGACATCCATTTAAGCAGAAGAAATAAGAGTGAAAAATTCATATTTTGTAATTCAAGGGACACAACTCTTCAGATAGGTTTTATAAGATTATATATGTAGCTAATTTTTTTTCTTGCTTTAATTTGTTCTATAACATCTGTGCAAAAATTATGCAAATAAACCTAAAAGTAAACCAGTGGTAGTGTTTTTACTTTCTTACTGTCTTTCCTATAATAAGCTATATATGCACTGTATAAGCTTGTATACGTACAATTCTGAATTGGTCAGAACTTTTTTATTTATGAAGATAATTCAATTCTGTAAAAAGATTAAGGAACGTTGACCAAAACCAAGCCTGAACAATATAAATTACACAGAATAAGGGTCAAATTTATTACGTCACATTTACTTCGCACATAATTCAGCCTGTTTCTACTTCAAAAACCACAGTACTTCTTAAATTAATGAAAATTGCAGAAATAGAAATAACATGGAACCAAATGTTTTCAAGAATGAATCTTAAAAGACCATATATCCATTAGGTAGTGTGTTAAAGTTACAATCATTACATAACTCATTAAGGTTTATGATCCCTAAACCCCAGAAACCAAAATCAGTCCACATAGTAAATAGAAATAAATGATTTCTCTGTCTATTCAATCTGTCTTCAATATATCATTCTGCTGATATTTTCACCTCCCTCAAGTCTCAAAATAATATATATTTAGCAAAAAATGAGAAATTCACTCATTTCCATTCAAAACTCTCAATATGAAAGGCGACAGAAAACGAAAAAGTTCACATTTTTTACCTGGTTATGTAAAGAAAGTTAGTGAGGTGACACAAACTGACTACGACTATGATCTTCAATCTACCTCTGCAGTGTATGAAGACCAAGAATTGAGCTATGTGAATATTGAACTAGACTCTCCAGGTAGTTACAGGGTTTTACGACCAAGGCCTGAAAAAAAAGAAAGCAGTTTTGATCAAAATTAAATCTCAGGCAACAGGATAATCAATGTGGAAAAAAATGGTAGAAATGTGGAATATAGCCATTCAGACTTATGCAGACGAAGAGGCCGAGGTGTGTGCAGTACCACAATTTAAGATCAACACAGAAGAAAAATGGGGAATTGGATGGAAATATTCACTGAAATGCCTTAATTGTGGATACATCTCTCCTGTGGTAAAATTATACAAGGAAATCACGACTGGCAAAAGAGGTAGGAAAGCGGCTGCAATAAACATCAACTTACAAGATGGATTGCTAGACATGCCTTTAGGCAATTCAAGGACTAGGCTTCTACTGGCAGATTTAGACATTCCCCCACCAGCTGAAAGTGATATGTCCAAGTTATCCAATTATGTGAGTTCAAAGACAACTGACTTGAACAATGAAAGCATGAGAACTAAGGTGGAAGAGGTGAAAAATGTCAACAGGCGAAGAGGTGCTTCCAACCCTAATGTGATAAATGTGGCTTTGGATGGTACAATTGTCTGACCATAGGACACAGCAAGAAACCCGGACAAGGAGCATCCCAATCATTCGGCATTGCTTGTGAGACAAACACAGATAAAAAATATATCATAAGTGCTGTGTTGCAAAATAAACTTTGTTGGACTGGAGCGTGGGGCTAAGAAACACAGGCATTACTGTCAACTGTCCAGGACACGAGGGATGCACAGCAAATCTGACAAGACATGCACCTTCATCTGAGAGAGAAATGGGGAGAATAATTGGTGAAGATTTATCTATTCAAGGGGTGCTCATCAAGTTTGCCACAACAGACGGAGATTCAACGTCAGCTACCGGAATTGAAGAGGCAATGAGAACTTTACATCCTATGTGGAAAGTTGAAAGACTAGCTGACCCAGCCCATCTTAGTTCATCTCAGTTTCGCCAATGTTTTAAGGCTAATTTTAGCGACGGAATGTTCAGAGGCAAAACAAAAGTTGAAAAAACAAATCAAAAGAAAACTTTGAGCCAGGACATAAAATCTAGGTGTAGCCTTGTGATCAAAGAGATGTACTCTACTTACTGCGGAGATGTGGACAAACTGAAAAAACAGCTGCCGAAAATACTACAAGCAACTGTTATGTGCTACGATGGAGACTGTTCCAAGTGCCGTTCCAACTCCGTGGTCTGTAGTGGCGGTCACAGCAACAACTGGTGGAATCGATCCATGTTTCTGGCTTCAAACAACTTAACGAGCCTGGAAATGAATGACAATGATAAGTTTCTGTTAAATGAACTTTTGAAAATAAGATTAAGTGAGGAAGACATTGACAAAACCCGTTATAAGACAGACACTCAAAAATATGAGTCAATAAATCGATCAATAAACATTTCGCTTCCAAAGAGTGTCAAATATGAAAGAAATGCTATGGGGCGGCTATCATCGACTAATCTTCGATCAAATATTGGGATAAAGGAGGCAACACAGACAAAAGCAGAGTTTTTAGGAGCAAAATTGTCCCCTAAGAGTTTACAAGCACTTAGCAGTATTCAGAAAAAATCAGTGTTCCATAGAGATTATGAAACAAGACCAGAAGTTAAGAGAAGAAAGCTTCTCGCTCGAGGAAGAAATATCCATGAATTTGCAAAATATAAAAAATTAAATTCAACTGACAGTGGGTACAGAAAAGGACAATTAGACAATATTTTACCTAGTGCTTTGCAGCAGTTGGATGGTGATCATTCTAATTCATATTCGCAATGATATTTAAATGTATAATTTGCCTTGAAATGAAAAAAATAGAAAAATCAGTCTTTTTCAGAATAATGTGTTCTCTTTTATACTACAACTCCAAAAACTGGCAACAGAAGTGTCAAAGCCAACACTAAACTGCCCCCCTCCCCTCACCCGTTTTGGTATTACAAAATATTCATAAACATGAAAGCCAATCTACGCACATTCATGGGCTTTCTTCTATGACTGATGGGACATTGAAAGATATTACCCCATACTTCCTATTTGATGACAAAAATTAAGCCCCCTGCCATATCCTGCAGGAGGAATTTATAGCCAAACAGATGAATTTTGCAGCCTGGCACTAGTGCATGTGTTAAAGGCATCCATTTTGTGTGAAAACATGTGAAGAAAAACAAATAATTACAATTTTGATTCATTGCTGCAAAGTTGACAGGTCGAAATTTGGCTGAAATGGCGTTTATCAATAAAAGTGGCCAAAAATTCAAATTTTGGACAAAAAAATATGCAAATGTAGCCATAAAAAGTAATTTAGTCTTTATTCTACCTATTCTGAAAATTTCATACAAAATCATTCCCAACTTTTTGAAAAATATTAATTTTAAAAAATAAATGACCTTACCAGACAGGACTCACTCTACTAATTCATTTGCCATCTCTTCCCATGTTAAAACACGAAATTCAACCTTCTATAACTTTTTCCAGAAATCTCGTTTAAGCTTTCCAATATGTCGAATGAAAGCCTGACCAATGCTCAATGTCTCCTAAAAAATTCATTATATGATGACCTTGAAAATTTTGAGCTACTACTATACTCATCCGCTAGAGTTTGGCACCCACAAAACGACTATTTTTAGAATTAGCCTTCCGCCTTTAAGTCTCTCATCATCTCACCAAATCTGAAAGATGATGCAATTTCACACATCAAATTCCAAATCTAGACCAAATTTTACCCAAAAATAGGCATGCAAAAACCCCAAAACGGAGATAGAAAGAAGATTTCTAAAAATAGCCTGGACTACATTTGCATAAAATGTTTTAGTGGAGTGAGTCCAGAAATCAGGCCAGAGGAAAGTTCAAGGGAAATAACTCATCACGAAATTAATATTTTTTTGTGAAATTCCTTAACCGTGTTGATCGAGTTGTATTATAATATATGAATAATAATTAGTCTATCCCTTGTCGAGTTAAATACATAATTTCACTGTTATGAAGATATCGATAAGCCTGCCACAATGCTTAGAGAATCACTTTCGCCAATTATCAACTCCTAAAGAGTACTGAGAGAGTCTTAAGATTATCTTGGAGAAGTGCCAACCACTGATTTTATTGTATGTCAATTTTACGGTAAATTTCTTTGAGGGAATTGTATTAATTTCAAACGTAAAATCACGGAATATATTATATTTCTCAGGGCCCGCAGACATTCTTAGACAAATAACATGCATATGAAATATGTGTTTTTTTTAAATATGTGAAATGAGAGGACAAATAATTTAAACTCTGAAGTCGCTGTGGGAGTGATTAATTACGTAGTCATTGAAGAAAAGTGAAGGAATCATAAAAAGACCGATGGATACTCACACAGAGTGCTGTGCAGTTTAAACATACCCCAATAGTGGGAAACCCAAACAGAGTATCATAAAGGTAAGGGCCGAAGGTTTGTTGGTGTGAGGAGGGGGTGGGGGGCTTGGCTAGCGCTTGTCTGTCCGAGCAACCTTCTCCTACCCGGTTCAGTACGCCTATGTAATCCTGGCAAATTATACATGTACCTCATACTCCTTTAATAACGTCGTCTTTTTTTTAAATTGTTAACTGAATATCGACATTCTGAAAATATAACGAGAATAGGATAAATTCCATTTTTGTTTACCGCACGACTCCATTGTATAGTATTCCATTTTGTCAGTTTTGAGAAAAATGACCAATCTTGATGGGTAAATGTAGTTCACAAAGAGGAAAACAGATATTGAAGTTAGCATAATAATGCACTAATAGTGATAGTAAATGCACACTGACATTGTAGTGTTAGCATTCTTCTGGCTTTCGGCCCAAAATCATAAAAAAGCAAAACAATTTCTTGTCTTATATATGATTACCGTCTTACTGACCTTGTAACACTTTCTACTGTGTTGTATTGCAGGAATATGAAACTAAACATCCATTTGCAGATTCATTAAAGATACATTGAAAGCTGGTAATTGAAAAGGAAAAGTAAAAAGTTGCTCTCATGGCCAATTTTCCCCAATATGAATGAAGAGTTTGGATTTCTGTAATTACCCATAAAAGAGTAGAAACAATTATAGAAAAAGATAAATAATAATCAACTATAATTCATTGAATGCCATAACCTTTTATACAGTGTAAATCGTTTAACTTTTTAACAAAACATAAAAGTATATATTGTTCAATATCATCTAATTCATTCAATTATGTAAAATGTTGCGTCAATATAGAATATTTAGTTCAAACAATATGCACAGTATGATATACCTCCTGTCTATGTAGAATGATGTAATATTATCTTTTCTTGGTGATCATCATCAGGAATGTCTATAGTATATAAAAATTGAACAAGAAACTTGTAGAGAGTTAAACATGGTACTTCACGTAATGTATCATTATATTATCTGGCTTTATTTGAAGTTCCGTACAATATATTCAAGAAAGGAAGTGAAAATGACTATTTAGTTTGCCGAAATAATCAGGATAACATAACATTTTTTCAACATTCATATTAAAGCAGTGTTAGCAATAATCAATTAGTTATTGACGGATAAATTTTAATTTGGATCTTAAGTTCCACTCATATTCGAATGCAACTGTTTCAACACTCGCGCTAGAATTACAACAAACACTGTAACAGGTTGAATTACGAAAACCTAAAAGAGATATCAAGTGGTTTCGTCTCAAAATCATGGTGCAATTTGGTAATGTCAAAATAACTGTTATTTACATTTCTAAAACTATCATGGAAGACGATTCGCCGAATTTTGGAACGGAGAGCACTTATAGAGAAATATCAACCAATGGTAACGCCTTTGTTGGTACAGATATTAATAGCTTGGTTCTTCAAACGATAATAGGAGAAAGTTTTGAAAACAGTGCCAGAAACAAACAGCCTGAAGAATGTATATCAAATGATTCAAATAGAAACACAGTGGGTGTTTACAATGACGAGCGTGATGCCAATGTACCAAGTCGCACAGTAAACTCACATTCGATGGAGTCTACAGAAATGGATAGTAAAGGGGTTGAAAAGGGGCATGACGAGACCAGTTCTAATAATTGCGCAACAGAATCCAATGTTTTAAATCCAGACACATCTTCAACCACCAGCGTTGATGAAAATGCTACAAACGTTACTAGAAGATCACAGTCCTGTGAACATAATAAAGTGCTTCAAAATAACCGACCCATAGATACCGTTGTTGATGATGTTACACAGAAGATAACGGCTGAAATACCATTCGAAAGTGCTGAAAAGACAGAATCGATCGAACCCACAGAAAAGGTCGAGAGCAAATGCGGGAAAACAGCCAAAGATTCAACTGAGGATAATCTCAATTCTGACAGAAAAGAAATCCTGAAGTTGAAAAAAGATTTGGAAAGTGTTCGTGCCGAACTTCTCCAAGAATTAAGTTCGGTAGATGATGAGAGATTGGTGATGCAAGAATCCATTTTGATGGTACAGAATAAGATTTACCAACAACGGCGAGTTTTGTTGAAATGTCTAAATGATCTGACATCTGGAAAGTATCAGCAAACCAACAAACATTCAGAGCACCAAGAAGGGGAAATCAACCAAACGTTTGGAATCCTCGAAGATAGAAAAGCAGATTTGGAAAATTTAATGGGTAAATTACCACGAATGGCTGAAAAGTCTCACAACTATAACGTGCCTGATATAATAGAGGCTGGGCAAAAAATTCTAGACGAGTGTAAAAGAAAGCTTACTCCCCTGAAGCTGTCGTATTTAGAGTTCAACGAAGGGGAGGTGAATTTCGAAGGACTTAGTTCTATGATGGGATCTCTAAAAACTGTTGGTTATAGTTCAGAGGATCAGAATGCTATCTCGGCTAGGCTTATAAACGGGGTTGTACCAGGGCTGCATTCTCGAGCTCGAGTACGTGAAGTCTCTGTGGAATCTACATGTACGCAGATAAGTAGCGGTGACTTGTCGGATCAGTTTACGGTTTCGACTCAAACTGATTTCGATGGCGATAAAGGATGTGTTGGTCCAGCGGAAGGAAAGCTGATTTTACGAGTGAATGTGGAGGATATTGAAAGCAATATTGACCGATGTTGTGAGAGTACGCCGTTAGATCTGCTGGGACTATCATGGAGAGTTATGGCCAACAAACACTGGAGAGATCAGCTCCAAATTAGGCTTTATTACAAAAATATCGAACATATAGAAAAATGTGTGGAGTACGTGGAATATGGTTATACTTTTAAACTTGTGAATCATATTAATGATACGTGGTCAATTGTGAAAAAAGAAAGTCATAAGATCGGACGTGATTCGTGGTGGGATAGTGTTATAGGATGGGGACGATTAGAGGATCCTAAGTGTGGTTATGTGTTAAATAAATGGTTCACAATAGAATCTACTGTTTCTGTTATTGATGTGAAGTTTTTCTAATTTTGTTTCTAGCTAGGTGATGGTGAATCCATAGACAATCTGGAGGAGGAATATTACGTGAACAAACTTTATTTTCAGAATGCAAATCTACGACAACGGACCACCACCTTAGATTTGTAACAAAATTTATAGTGGTGCTTGCATGGAACAGTACATCAGTGAGGTACATTTTTGTTTGTAACACAGAAATATTGAAATATTCTATAAGTAGACAAAATTATGGTTAACCACATTCTGAGATGTAAAGTAAAGTAACAGTTTTTATTTTTGTTCATGTGCCAAAGAAAATTTCTCTTTACGACAAATACAACCTTCATTATATAAAGTGAAGGTTACATCTCCTTGATTTCACGTTGTCTTTATTTCGAATGTTAGATCGACTTACTTATCTAATGAGAAATAGAACGAAAAATAGCATAAAGTGACAGAAATATGTGATAATAGGGGGATTTGTTCTGAACTTAGCATTAACTGAAAGAAAATATTGGACGTGATAACTTTATTAAGATATTTCAGATGGTTGTATAATTGATTTTCTCTTCGTGGATTGAATTAAATTTTTTATATTGACATCAATGCTTTTCTCTGTATAAATATAGGCATATAACTAGTTAAAGTTCAAGTCGTAAAAGCAAAAAAATCTAAATGAGTCTTATTACATATCCCGGATCTTTCACGAGGAAATGAATGGCATTTATCGATTAATAACTCTGTTCTTGGGACTCCACTTGAAAGTTAAAGTAAGGGTGCGGAAATATGTATCTTTCATTACAAACGATGCTGACCTATCCATCCGACGTGAGTACAAAAGAAGACAACCCTGGTTACCAAACCTGTCCGAGCTTTAATGTCAGGTAGCGAATTATATTCCAATTTTGTTTTATAGCCAAAATAAGTCCGAAATTTGCTGGAAAATTGCATTTCTGCATGGAAAGTGGAAATGTTCCTGATACATATACAAAGACTTGAAAACCGCTCTAAAATCCCTACAACTTTTGGTTTTAGAAAAGAACCACCCGCACCACCATTTCGACATTAAACAGATTCCATACAATGAAATTGCTTTACTGTCTGAAACTGACTTGCAGCAGAATAACTGTGATAATATTAAACATGATTTAAAAGGTCGAGAGTAACTCGAGGGTTAGCGAGAGATTTATAATAACAAAAAGTTTTCTTAATTAGCATTGAGAAAACTAGGACACCATTTCCCTTATAAATAAATACATGTAAAGAAATTCTTTCCGGGCATATATAACATTCTAAAATGTACAGACCAAACAGAACATGACCAAAAATTTATACTTGAATGCAACGATACGATTCACTGAAATGTTAAAACCATCAAGTTAATCATTATAATGTTCTTAAGATACACAATTCTTACATGTATCGCGGCCTAATAGTTCCAATTAGTGAACCAACAGAACACTAAGAAATGGAAGGAACGTTTTCAAATAATTCCAGTGCGAACTGTATATACAAATTTATAACATACATATTCGTTATAAAATATCAAAGAACGTTATAACATATTACAATTATTGACAAATCTTATAAACTTAACGAAATTTATCGATGCCTTCAGTAGAATGATGCAGATTGAAGCATTTTTAAAACTGTAATAGATCGCCGTCGTTTATTAAAAGTGACAGATTCCCAATGAAACATCGATCATCGAGGAACTAGTTCATAAAGCCAAGAATTAACTTTACATGTGAAATATGGATTCTTAACAACTAGGTAAGGAGAAAATTCCATGTCCCAATGTCTAGTTGACATGTGGACTTTTGTAAATATCCACTATCACCATTGTTTCACAGTGGGGAATACATTTCTGGGAAAAGCGAGCCATGCTGAAGGACAGGCATAGAGATCGATAGATGCTATCTAAACGTCAACTTTCATCTCATTTTTTTGTCTTATGAGTAACATAAAAAAATTACCATGGCAATCTTGATCGGAAACACTTGTAGTCATATTCGCCACAGTGCTAGATCAATCCCAGAGTTTTCATCGTTCAAGGCTGGGCAATTTTTGAACTGAACTTAAGGGTTAAGGGTCCTCTGTGTTTGTAGCTTCTTAAGTGACTGGATGTCTGTGGATGCTATTGTAACCCTAAGCATAATAAACAGATAATTATGCTTCAAGCAGCAATTATGTCATTACCCCTGTGTTAAAGGTTATTTCATTCTCATCACACCAATCACCCAGCAGTAAATATTAGTGAGATACTTTACTTTAATACGATTCAACCCAAACATCTCAATTGTTTTAGAATATTATTGATAAAATCTCTTTTTTGTTAATTGGAGTAAATGAACTGTTATTGTGAACCTAAGGTTTTAATTATGGTTTAAATTTGGCTTTAAGCATCCCTAGAGATGTCATTGTAAGCTGATCACCAGAATGTATTTTGTCTATATCTTTCTACCTATATTAAAAATATCATATAATCTTTTCTCACAACATTTCTTGAAATTGTTTCCATAGTAACTAAAGACATTAGATAGAGTTTGTTGACTTACACTGCGTTAATATACTAGGTGATCGACATGGTGTTATGTCATAATATTGTAAGTTGATTTATTCATAGAAAGTAGCCTCGTGTCAGCCGGATGTGTTGGCTCTGCAGACAGGCTCATTAAAGTGTGGAGGATAATTGTACACGATCCATACGGAAAGCTACCCGAAATTCGTAGGGGTAACACCTGAAATATCAGTGATGTGCCACAATCTAATTGAAATGAAATTAAAGTTTCGTATCTTTTTAATTTTTAATCACAAGCTTTCAAAATACTACCTTTGGGATAGGCTTTTGGCAGAAAACATCTTAGATTACAATGTAGATATTAATAATACCAGAAAACAAAAAAGATAGGAAATTGTAATCTAATTAAATTGTGATTTGACCAAATCATATCAGATTTCTGGTAGTATGGAAAGAGGTGTAGCCCATGTTTGATACTGAGGCAATCGAGTATTGATGTTGTTATACTGCTTCCGTATGTTTTTATTTTAATCATTGGACTTTAAGGAAATATCACTCTCTTTGCCTTGTTGGACTCCATCAAAGGGAATAAGGGAATCTCAGAATGAACTTACATAAATTCAAACTTACTGCAACAATTCAAATGCAATGCAAGAAGAATTCAATCCCTAGTTGTAAGTAGCAAAAAATAATAAAACAAATATTTAATCATGTTTTATTGTGGTTGATTCAAGTTTGGTCTGCCATTATTACAACGAGGTCTTATTTCTTAGCAGTATATTTATCGCTGTTGGGATTCAGCTGATTGCTATGATTGTCTAAATCTGCTTTATCTCCTGGAAATAAAGGATCAAAATTGTGTTAATTTCTAATGGAAAACGGGTATATCAAAACCAATATACAAATCACATGGAAAAATCTGATATTATCTATCAAAAAATGGCATGTGCCTACCAAAACTATTATTCAAATCACCAGATGAAAACTGGAATATACCTATCAAAACTATTATTCAAATCACCAGATAAAAACTGGCATGTGCCTATCAAAACTATTATTCAAATCACAAGATAAAAACTGGCATGTGCCTATCAAAACTATTATTCAAATCACAAGATAAAAACTGGCATGTGCCTATCAAAACTATTATTCAAATCACAAGATAAAAACTGGCATGTGCCTATCAAAACTATTATTAAATCACAAGGAAAAACTGATATATACCATTATTTAAAGCACTAGGAGATAACTGATATATAGCTTTCAAAACCATTATTCAAGTCACAGGGGAAAATTATATATATCTATCAAAATTCGTATACAAATCATGAGAAGAAAACTGATAAGTTGAACCCCTCTTAGCGGCACCCCATAGGACTAGCAAATACATCGGTTTGGAGATGCTGCACTGTCACTGATATATATATATATATCATTAAGTATACATTACTTATTGGTTTAATGAATTAAGAAATATCACTTATATCGAGTGGCCGAGAAAAAACGTTCACACTTATATATATATATATCATAACAATTATTCAAATCAAAAAAAAAAAATTCAGAACAATACTGACATATATCTAACAAAAATTTTATACATTACACGAAGAAAACTGATTTATTTCGGTCAAAACCATTATACGAATCACAGAAAATTGACGTATACCTATCAAAGCTAAATCATAAAGAGAAAGCCGATATGTACCTATCCAATGCATTTTACAATCAAAAGGAGAAAAACTGGTATATACTATCAATGATATTATTCAAATAGTGCCAAAGGTTGAGTTTGTTATATTTAGTTTGCGAAAGTTATTTTTGTGTAATTGTGTATTTATTAAAGATATTAAATGAAATTACCTGTGCCAGAATAACCTGATGTGTGACCCTGGTATTTATCATTGTTCGGATTACACTGGTCCGACTTGTTGTCATTGGACCCTTGATTTCCTCTTCCGCTCATTACTACAACATCACAATAATAGGTTACCAATGTACTCGAATTCGCAACGATCAATCGCAAGAGTAGCTAAAAATTTGGTTTTCAAAAAGCATCTTGCATAGCAGGGGATTTTAACCTTTTTCTTTCTGGAGCCTTAGTCGAATACGTTACCCCCTTTCCCCTCTAAATCCCTGCATTCTTTTTGAAGTCGTAGAGCATAGCCTGACCGAATAGAAAAATTTAAGTTATAATTTAATGCTAGACTACAAAGTGCCTATATACCATAACCGCCAGGTTGAAAACACTCCTAACTTAATCGAGCAACATTCATCAGCATGAATAGGCGATTCGCCTTCACCTAGCAAGCACAATGGTTACAAAAGATTTAACCTATTAATATTAATGCTTTTGGTTAATTTCAATGTTAAAAATTCTCACCTGATTATTTCGTTTTTGGCTGCAAGGCTGATGTACTGTTCAAGTTTATCAAACAAATGACACTGCGTGGATTTTGTTTTCCTTTTATAGATGTCATTCTTAGAAATAAACGCCCATATCGTGATATGTTAAATAAGATTTCGTATTTCTACTTTCGATTTTAAATGTGGCGAATCGTATTGAATAAAATTCCGAGAATTTCTTATCATATAAACATTAGTGGCAAGGGTAACTATTTATGGTACCCTACTTTTTTTAAAAAGGCCCACATCCATGTAGTCTGTCATTGCTTATTATTTCTATTGAAGTGACGATTGAATTTGAAACCTAAAGAGGACAGAGGCGGAGTCAAAGGGGTGGCAGACCACCCCCCTCGCAGCCCCAAGAGCATGTTTTTCGGGCAAAAATCTCATAACTAGGTTAGAAATTCGGACAACCTCAGGTATTTCGCCCTCCCTCTGACGTAAACCTAGCTCCGCCACTGGTTAGTGAAATAGAGTTCAGGTAGAATAGTTAGTTGTTCTCCTTGAATATCACGAGAAGAATCATTTCTAAGAAATCACAACACATATTATTCAAAATAATATTCAAATTTCAACCTGTGCGGGTTGAGTCATGTTTGGGCGAAATAAGATATTTTTCCTGGTAGCACTTAAATACATATAGTAAAATCTTGCTTCAGCAAAACTCTACTCAAGCAAATTTATTGAATCGAATTCTCATTGCGATTTTATATGGAGTCAAACTGATCCAGTTTGATAAAGAAGTATATGCCATCAGAAGAAATACTAATGTGTTAGTCTTTGCTACTTGAAACAGTACTGAGCTATTGGTAATTTTAGCTGCATGGCTATCAAAAGACAATGACAACTATATGGGCAATTTTGATGGTTTGCACTCAGTGAGGTTTTGGCTTGGACTAATACTTTCAGTAAAGTTAAAGTAAGTGATTATAATTTCAGCCTTTTTCAAAGGCTATGCAACCATTACTAGTTCTATGGTGGAAGATCTCAACATCAGAATGGAGGTCAACGATGTATTTGAATAATGTAAATAGACGTTATAAAATATTTCTATTTTCCATCTCGGAACATTTTTAATATGTCACTTAAAAATTTCATCTGTCTCAAATTCCTTTACACTTCAGTACTCCTTATAATTCTTTGAACCTTTAACATATAGTTCTATGATGCATAAACGATTTAAGTTCAAAGCACTTAAACGATACAAATTGAGAGCATAGTTGCATATTTTTTATGTGAAACAGTTTCTTCTAATAGATAAAATGTTGATTTTTAGGTTTTAGCACAAAATGAAAAAGTACAATAGCGTTATATGAGCGTGATTGTATGTAGTGTACTAAATGAAGAAAGGAGACACTTTTTAAGATTGACTAAAGTATTTTATTCTCCGAGCTTTTCGTCGTCGTCGAGACGATTTCTTTGGATCAGTATTTTACCAGATGAACAAGTTTCGACGACGACGAAAGCTCGTAGAATAAAAAACTTTAGTCACTCTTAAAAGGTAAAGTGTTTTCTTACTTGTTTTATTATTTTATAAACGTGGTTTCCAATTATAATTGTAAACATGTTCACTTTAATCCATGAAAATGAAAATAAAACACAATGATCTGGTATAGTTTGTAAGTTACTAAGAATTAAGTTTCTAAGAAAGAAAATTATAGTTACGCTATGTCAACCTTTTTGCAATCAATCAATAATGGTTTGTATCATTGTGAGAATTAACCATGAATACACTAGATCTTTTTTCAATATTTACACGCAGACAAGGCGAGTGAGAGGGATATGTGCGATACCACTATATATCTAATTATCTTACATGCTATTCATTAATGATTCCTTCTTGCAGCTTCACGAAGCTATAACCTTCACGAAAACCTTCATTCAATATTCTTAAAATTGACATTTTACTTAAAGATGGGTTTCCTTATTTTTTAGTGTCAAATTAAGCAAACTATTTGATAAATTGGTGATTCTGGTGAATTATCATGTATTCTTAATCATATCCTTATCTTCTTATTGCTGCATATAATTAACAGTTTTAACCAATCATAAATGTCCTTGTATGTACAGTCTGGATAAAGAAAAGAAGACTTTTTGACCTTTCTTGATCGATCATGCCGCTTTTTTATAGGTTGAAATTTTTTTTCGCGTATATTTGTGAATACTATACAACAAAATCTAGAGAAATGTGCCCTTAAACGTATCTGAAAGTTTTAGCTAAAAAATCAAGATAAAACTTTTAAACGCCAAAAAGATTTAAACGCATACGTAAGGTTTTGTAAGTTTTTTTTATGCTTTTTGGAAGTTGTTAGAAAACCAGTATACGAATTGGAGTAAAATAACGCTTAATAGTAGAGAAATATGTCTCCTACATATTCTAAATGTTTCATCTAATAATATGGAGCCATTATAAAGCCACACACTAAAACTAGACCAAACTGCTTAATTAACCCTTTTAAAACAAACCCAGTTTGATAAAGAAGATACATAGATATAAATAACATACTTGCGTTGTTCATAATGAAAAATTTTTACGAAAAAAGCGGAATGCGCCTTTAAAGACGATCAGCTGGCGCATCGATAACTATGAATGAAAACCTTGCATCTTACTCACTCTTTTATATAGTTATGAGTTCCATGCGAGGGGTTAACAAGCTCATAGAGGTTGTGGCTTTGTTCAAGAGGCAATAAAACGTTGTCTGTAAAATAGACTTTATCAATACATTTTGTATTCATTTTTCCGAGTGAGAATACTTTGAAGGTGCTCGTTTCAGTTAATTAACTCAAAATATGCACCCTCGTTGTTTTAAACCCCAATGACCATCAATAAGTCATCTTTCCTTAATAACCACGATCCTATCTAATAAAATTATATACTATGAGGAAAGGAGTTTGTCAACTCTTCGTAAAAAAGGCTATGGGAACTCTCTGATCTGGACAACCATTATTAATGAATAAATGGTACTGTGACAAGATACATATTCTGGTGATTGTAATCAGGTCTGTAATTAATCGTTAGCTAATATAGATGGACTGGACTGAAATTGAGTGTTATAACCAAGGTTAAACGGTCTACTCTTCGACCCTGATGTCCAGCGATTTATAAGTAAAGTAAAACCATAATTCATTCAATGATGTAAATGCAGACTTGTTCATAACGATCTCTAAACATATTCATTAAACAGAGACTATGAGAAAAGAAGGCAGACTGCATCCATCAAATGAAAGTTTTACATCTTGGTTTCGGAAGATCCTGTGTAGTTGCTCGTTAAAAGCAGAGCCTTTTAACCTGTGTAAACTAGTGTTTTTAATCGACTTAGTATTCGAGCGCAACCACTCGAGGTTGTCTCGGTACAGGTATCCAGCACACCTTACTTCACATCGTACCTAGTGTGAAGGGCATTCGAAAGAGAGACTGTATGCTGCACGCTTACAAATGCATTGATGTAGTATTGTACGATTGTTTGTCATCGAATCAAACATCGTTTTTAGAATAAGCCTTCGTTCTGTCGACATCGTATGCAACAGTACCATATTCGAAACCACCAATCTCGTGATCTCGTGATTAAACATATTTAGACTAGTTTCAATTTACTTAGTCTGACATCTCATTTGGAAAAGAAAGAAATATCCATTAATTCAGGATTCGCGTATCACCAGACTTAATTAAAGTATTACAGATGACCAGCTTGTTTCCAGGATAACGAAAAACATAGTACCTAATTACATAATAACGAATAATTCTGCTGGTTAAAATCAAAACAAAAACCGATTAGTCAAATCAAATCATCAGTATTATAATCAATCAGAACAAATTGAAATAGAAAATACATTTCAGGTACATGTAATGTGGGTCAAAAGCTGAACGGGATCATCTGATAGGGTACAGAATGACAAGTTTTCTTTGTACACAAGCAGTTAAGAAACTTTTCTAGCAATGCAAACGCTGCATTAAATGAATAAATAAACCATACACTAACGACCCATTCCGCAATAGCTATTTCCAATAGCTAAAACATATTTGCAACACACTGGCCAATCATAGAGACAGTATTTCATAATGAAAAGTTGTATCAAGCTTAATTCTACCTTGCGCAAAAATTGCTCGCCAATAATCTTACATCGGATTTGATTTTGTTGAATCTTAAGGACCAACGTATGAAATCCCAGAGAGTTGAATACATGTATATTAGAGAATCTATTTCTACAAGTAATTAGTCTTAGTAAGACAGGCAAAATCAAGAAGCAGGAAATAAAATGTCTATTGTAGGCCTACATTAGGGAAAAGTGAAAGAGATTCACGGACCACTGCGATATCAATAGGGCGTCAAACTGTTCAGAAATTTAAACCCCGACTGTTCTTTCACAACTAAATTGTAGATATAACGAGCAGGCGTTTAACACCCCCTCCCTTTCATGCTCTATGCGGTAATTTAAGAAAAGATATGTTGATAGTCATATTAAAAATATAAACCAGATTCTGCCTGATTAGACCAATATCGATCGCCTCTTCAGCTTCACACTTGATAACCATTGGTCGATTCCCGTTGTCATGGCAATGATGTCATTTCGTATATTATGATAATAGCTCGTGGAACCAAAAGGACGGAATCCATTGGAACTGTCAACCTGTTTTCTCGAATGGTATTCCTGTTCTAAAAACATCAGGAATTTTGAAAATCTGTGCTCGGTGACACCAGTGAAAGTTCCAGTTATCGTTGAGGATAATATTGGAATTAAGAACGATTTTCGTCCAGGAAACAGTGAGATTTTCTGTTACCGTCTTCTTTTAGAAGGAAAGAAAAATCGATATTGAGTGAGTCTAGAGATTATTGTTTCTGTGTTGACTAAAAATTGAGTTCATCACGTCGACTTACTAACTAAAATTAAAATGAAGACGGAGAATTTCTAAGATTTAGACTGTTCATTTGATTGTGATACGATTTCTTGAGAGTAACACCGGTCGTCTGGATTTTTATAGCAATATGGGCACTGTTCTCTCTTTTTCTCCCCGACCCCGAAAACCTCTGTATGAAGACATAAACCTCAATAATTTCAACTATGAGGTCCTCAACAACGTCAAGAATCAGGCCAAGGAAAAGAACTTTAAAAGGCACTCTATATTTCTCAGTGCTTTAAGCTGGAAGAAATTCACGGTCAATCCCAAAAAGAAGGATAAGACTCATTTGAAAGGATCGAATTCGGCTTTTCTCTCCAGTAAATTTGATAATAATTACAATTCAGAAAATATTAACAAAAATATACAAAAGTCCATTTCTTGCTATAACTTAAAATCCACCAGCGTTGAAGAACCCAAAAGCCAAATAATAAATACAATCAAAACAGCGAAGAAATCAGAAAAATGTGCCAGTCCCAAACGAACAGTGATTCAAGCGTCCACTTCGGAACTACTTAAATGTCTAGGGGAGTACTTAAAACGGAAATGTAAAAAGATCCGCCATTTGGAGGGCAGTGATGTTATTCTGTGGATGAGAACAGTAGATAGGTCGTTGTTACTACAAGGTTGGCAAGACATAGCTTTCATTAACCCTGCTAACGTGGTATTTGTGTACCTGCTTATTCGAGATATGGTCAGCGGGGATATCGTAAATGAGACTGAATTACAAGCCACAGTTTTAACCTGTCTGTACTTGTCGTATTCCTACATGGGCAACGAAATCAGTTACCCTCTAAAACCATTTCTAGTAGAAGAGGATAAAGATCGATTCTGGGATCGTACCATTGTGATTGTGAATAAACTGAGCCCATCTATGCTCCGAATCAACCGTGATCCAAGCTTCTTTACCGAAGTATTTTCAGAACTCAAGTCGTATTCTCCGTGTGTATAAAAGAATAACCTAAAGTCCCAATTAATTGCGTATTTGTATATTGCTTCTGTACATAAAACCCATGAAGGTCAGAGGTCAAGCAAAATGAACAGAGAACTGAAGCAACCACCCTCAGCTTGACGTGTGTGCTGTGCAGATGATGTTGCTACATATTTTGCGGTAGATTAATAAAGATAACAATTAACACCCGTACAATGTTTATAGGTTACTTTATATTGATTGTCCAGCTGAAGACAGTGAAAATCCTTCACTTATTTAGAAACGGAACCTTTGGACATAGTCATAAGTTCCACCAATGAGGTAACTGATAAGTCCCCCCCCCCCCCCCTTTACTCTGAAAGGAACTAGGTCAAGTGTGTTGATAGCATTGCACATAATGAATAACAGTGTATGATATTTTCTCGTATCTTAAAAGAATTTGTTGTTGTAGTTATTTGTGTGACTGCCTAGAGCTAGGTGTGTATGAGGAAGCTGTCTGTCATTATGCTGAAGTATTATTTTATCATTGATAACATTTTCCTAGAATTTCAAATTTGACTGCAATTCAACGAAACTTTGAACCTGATTCTATGAAGTTATAGCTATATTAATTTAAGTGATTGATTTTGTAAATGTGCTATAAACATTAGCCTATTTATGACCGGGCGTGAAAGCCATGTGCCATTTTATCTGCATTGTTATTAATAGCTGTTATAACCTTCTGTCAGCATTTAAATGTGAAGGAATTCAATGAATCATCTCGAAGATCCAGTCTGTCGGTATACCTTTATGACAACAGAGTGGTTGATGAACAAGCCTACTAATAGGGACGCCATGTTGATTACCAATGAAACGTGAAGTTGAATTATTCATAATGCCCAGATAAAGGCTAATACATCGCTCTTTTATTCCAGGTCATGGTCGCTCTTGTGCTGGTTTTATTAATCATATTGATTCATTATTTCAAATTGTACCTTGATCCCATTTAAGCCTGTATAATCGTACAAGAATTGTAATATCGTTTGAATATGCATATGAAAGATAACGGTAAATCGATGTTCCATCGAAGAAATACGAAAAAGAGAACAAAAAATTCAAATTACCAGGTTATTCATGTAAGTTTTTCTACAATCTTAATCTTGTGGTGGTTATTGAACCTGATATCAAATCAAATATGATGAACAACAGAATTATTTAGTTCCTACTCTTTTTTCGTTTTCACCTTAGAATTATTTTTTTATATCAAATTTCTGGGTAATATATTTTGTATTGAGTATTGAGTCAGGTAACTCGTGACTAACGTGTTAATTTGAAAAGATAACTCTATTAATGACATCATAAACATTAATACATTTGTTATGACAAGCACGAACATTTCTTTCTTTATGATTTATATGTTGATTTCTGATTGTAGACTCGTGGCTTAGTTCCATGTCCCAGTCTATACATTGGAGCATTATTGAGATCATTTCTGAAATTTCTTGCTCACAATGCAAATTACGTGAATATTTATATTGTAGAGGCAATGTCAAGGTTTATATTTACGTGCAGGATCATACGAGTGGGACTGGGCAAAAAAATCGTTAACGGAATGTATCGATCTAACAAGTATTTTAGGAAAACAGACAGACACGGGGCTAAATAACGCTAAAAGGCTCGTCACGGCTATATAACAATGTATCAATATCAGAAACTAAAGGATAGAAAGCTATATTTCAACTGTTATCAGACAAATAAATTTCACTAACTGGAGTATTGATTTTCCCGCCATTTCTATGAGCAGAAGTCAATCGATATTGTAGTTAGTATGAGCAGACGAGATGTGTAAATTATTCCACCAGAGACCTAGAGGTCGAAATAACTCAGGAGTGTTGGATTTCTGCTTAGTTACAGATTACAGATAAATAACCATAGGAACATGACTTCCTGTAATTGCTAACAAAATATCGCATTCGATTACTTTATAATGTGGAAATTTATTTAACGACTGATATATAAAAATAGATGTTAACATTCTCTTAAAATTAAATCCAATTAAATCGTTCATTCGAAACATGTCGGTAGCATGCGATGATTATTATATGAAATATGATGATGATAAGCAGAATAGAGTACAATCATTAGACATCACTTTTAGCATTTTCCCCTCTATCCCCTCAAAATCTGATAAGTTATTCATATGCATTGTTTTACAATTTGTCTGAGAGAATGAGTGATTGACATGTGATAGACTTGTCAACTTATTGTCAAAATATGTGATAATATTGAGTTTTGTTTAAATATTGTTTGTAAATACTGTATGCTTTACTTTGCAGTTCTCGTGTATGCGCTTCCATCAGAACGTATAATGGCATCTTGAACCAACACCAAGTATCAATAATATTTTATATTACAAAACAAACTAATTAGGTATAGGTTATCAACATTCATTTTTCTGTTTGTGTCAAAAAGGAAAGTCATTGTTCGTTATACATGATTCTAACTGTTTGGGAACTTTCGATTTCTTTCGACAGAGAAAACACAAATTTGACCAGCTTATCTTTTGTGATGTGATAGTTTAAATGAAGGTGGTCAAATTGTTTTCTCTGCATTTCGTGGTTGCTTGAGTGTAGCCTGTTGTTGCAATAGGACGTTGGTTCATGTTTTTGTTTTACCAATGGGGTTCTAATACTTTTTTGAATTTTAATATCTTGAGTATATAAAATATATCATTGATACAAGATAAGTATGATCAATGGATGTAGACAGGTATTGATTCATTTCGGGCAATCAATCGTCAACATTCTAGACATAAAACTCTATTTCCGGTTATATTTTCAATATAAATGATAAGCAATATAACTGAATACCAAACATGTAATTAAGGTTTTTTAAGGGGATCATACAGCTGCATCGGCAAAGAACGTTCCCACCGATAATAAATGGATATTAAAAATCCTAACGAAATCTAAAGTAGCGTATCGGTTTTATGTGTATTCAAATCAAAATATGATTTTCGAAAATTGTACTTAATGATCCAATGGTCACACTTAATTGCATTATTTCGTTTTAGAATATATTGTCATGGAAACGATTATGAGATGAAACGAAATAATACCCATAAAACTTACAATGTTTACATTTTGATATTACTTCTTGTTTTTCTTTATTTGTTAAATAGTAATTAATATTTGCTAACGAACTATTTATGATCAATTTAATTTGTAAGGATATTAATATATTTTAAAATGTACAAAACTATTTATTCAAGAATGTAAATAATATTAATATTTTATTTTAATTTATTATATAAAATTATAACCTTCATTTTATTCAACGCTGTTTGTTTAAAGTGTAAATAAATTGGAATATGCACCAGCTCAAAATAGAAAGAATTCGAGAGAAAAAAAAACATTTCTCCCTTTAAGAACTTACTCATTAATATTTGTAAATTACGTTAAAAGCATTCTTGGTTTTTCATTAACGTCAATGGACGGAATAATTCATGTTTTAAAAACTTCCTTTGTTTTTAATCTTTATTTAAAAAAAAATAAGGCGTTTTTCATTTTTTTGAAACCACAACGTTCAGCTTTATTCTGATTTAGATTATTGTACAAGAGTTCAAACGGGTGCATATTCCCCACTTTTTTTTATGTTAAGGCCGCAAAGATGTTATTGTCTTTATGTATTTATGGTTATTCCGCCTCGTGTTTGTACAATTTGTTATCATGATCAGCAGAAATAAATCAATGTTTTTTTCAATTAGTTTTGTGTCTTTAGATCTTTTCTTCAATAATTAAACCCATTACCATCAATAATTAATTCATATTTGAACAACGTTACCCATTCTAGATATCTGACTATTACGAAATTGATCAGAAGGTTATGGCTCGATGCCCATGTTTCACTATAGCTCAAAATATATCTGTCAAATATATTAGTCAAATTCTTAATATATACATTTTCACACGTGCTTATCTTCTCGCAAGACCTAGTCAAGTCGTTTTGTGATCATAAAATACTGGCAAAATTTGTTTTATCCTGAATCTTAATCCGTTTTGTGCTTGCTTTAAGTCCCTACTGAAATCTTATCCAGATCCCCGAGTTGAGCAAAGCACAATTGCTGGGTTTGGTCTAGATATTCCGGCTATTGTCTTGGCATCTTTTGGGGATGACTACACAGGAATTAGACCGATCAAGTAGTTTTCTATGGTCTTCTTACGTCCTGACATTACTGCTGTTGCGGAAATGGGTCATGATCTTTGGAACAGTGGCTCATACGTTCCGTTCCACTTTCATTTTCAACCCAATTGATGCATTTTTTCTTGGTCAAGAGCAGCAGTGGGTTCTTTGAAATCGTCTGTGGTATCAGTTATATAAATATCCTTGTAAAGATTCATCGAATTACATAGAAGGTAGCCATAACAAATTGAACTGTTTTTCTTTCTGCTCTGGATCTGGTCAACTGAGGCGAACAATCAATGCCAACCAAGTGAATAAACGTGAAAGAAGGCATGAAATCCAGAACTTTATTAAGTATGAGCATAACAGCTAATTTTAATTATATCAGATACAGGCTAAGAGCTATATTTACACATCCATCGATTTTTTAATAATATTAATACGGAACATTGTACATGATAGAACACGGTGAGCTTTTCACGTGGCATATCGAGCTAACCAAGGTAGAGGAAAGGTCTCCAAGCAGAAGAATATAAAAACAGAGAATTTGAAGTCAGAAGGAAACTAATTTACTACACAGTTCTTACAGACCCGACATTATACCAACGACAAAATTCATATGTGGGTAAAAACATAACTGTGGGTAAAATTTGGTGAGAATGGAGCAGAATCGGGTACAAGGCAGTTGGCGAAACCCGATATACAAAAAGTAGACAAAGTCGCGTTTGGTGGATTTTCTCTGAGTGTAGTAGCGACACATGGGCACATGAATGTCTGATTTATTCTAATTCAGAAGAAGATCTGCAAAGAACATATTTGATAGAGTCAATCATAGCTCAATAGACATACCGCAAGTCTCA